GGATGATATATATATATATCAAAACAAGGACAATAAGTGTTAATTATAGACTAGGTAGTGAGTATATAAGTATTCCCTATACAAATTCTTAATTCTTTCAACTTTTAAGAATTAAGAATTCTTAATTTATATTTGAACATTTTCCTAATAAATGTTGGAAAATACTTAATGTGATTTTTTTGTTATAAAAAGGACATATGCTCAGTGAAAATATTTGTAAAATATAGAAAATAAAAGGAGGAAATAATATTTTCTGTAGCCCAACAATCCAGAAATAACTATTACTTGTTTTTGCTTTTAGTCTTTTTTCTGTGCTTTATTTTTGCTTTGTTTAATGGCTATGATCATATTTTACATGCTGTCTTGTACCTTATTCTTATAGCCTATAAAAATATCCTATTTTTCCCCAATAAGCTTTATACCATATCACTTCCACTGCGAGATCATATTCTGTTGAGCTAGTATACTATAGCTTATTTAAGCATCCACTTACTTTGCATGTTTAGATTGTTTTTCATATTTTACTGATATATTACTAAAATGGGTAACAAAATGTTCTGTTTTAGATCCTTGTAAGTGGAAATACCATGTGAAAATGTGTGAAAAGTTTCAAAACCCTTCATACACATTGTCAAACTTGACGTTTCCATCCTTTTCTTTCCAGAATAGTTCCTGAGATACCTTCACAGACCCCCCAGAATTCCTTAAAACCCAATTAAAGCACCACTGGTCTAGAACATTTTAGTTATTCACGGGCTATATGTCAAATGAATTTTTTTTCTTTTTTTCTTTTTCTTTTTTATTTTTATTTTTTTGCCAGAGAGGTTTAGTAACTTGTTGATGGTCTTAGCTAATAATTGGCAGAATCACCACTAGACACTACATATATCAAGGCAGGAATGAGCGCATAACAGGGGCTTAGTAATGTTTATTAAGTGAACACATGGAGAATGAGGGTACCAAAGGCTTGTATCAACTTAGATTTCTATTTCCTGTGTGTTTCCCTTCAGAGGTACAAAATACTTAGGTTAACTTCTTTCTGATCCAGACTGGACATTGTTCTTATTTGCATATTGGTTTATTCTGGCTACACCTACTGCTTCTGATTTTCCTTTGGCTCAGAACATAGAGTTACGTGTAAAGCCCATGCATTATAAGATGCTAACTAATCTATTGTTGGAAATGTGGTCCAGGTAACAGTGACATGAATATTCTGAATACTCTTTGCCTTCTAGGCTTCCAGTGTGATTTGCAAAAGGATTTACATATATGGTGTGTGACTCTCTCCTCTGAGAGAAGGGTCCTGTGTAGGTTTCCGTACGTAGGCAGCAGGATGGATGTGTACAGTCGTCCCCCCTTATCCACGGGGGATACGTTCCATGATCCCCAGTGGATGCCTGAAACTGTGGATAGTTCCGAACCCTATGTATATGTGTTCTCCTATACATCCTCCATAGATTTAGTTTATAGTTTAATTTGTAAATTAGGCACAGTAAGAAATTAACAACAATAACTAATAATAAAATAGAACAATTATAATGATATACTGCATTATGTGAATATGGCCTGCCTCNCTCTCTCTCTCTCTCTCTCTCTCTCTCTCTCTCTCTCTCTCTCTCTCTCTCTCTCTCTGTCTCATAACCAATCTGATAACCAAGACGACTGCTCAGTAACTAACGGGCAGGTAGCATATGCAGGGTGGGAATGCTGGATAAAGGGAGGATTCACAATGTCCTAGATGGAACAGAGTGGGGCGGTGTGAGATTTCATCATACTACTCAGAACAGCACGCAATTTTAAAATGTATGAATTGTTTAATTCTGAAACTTTCCACCTAATACTGTTGGACCATGGTTGACTGCAGCAGGTGCCTACAACTGCAGAAGGCCAAGTCGCAGATAAGGAGGGATGACTGTACTCCGCCCAGGGTCTGGGCAAGCTGTCCACTGCAGCAGGCCTGGGGCGAGTGAGCTGGGGCCGCTGTCAGCACAGACATTGTACTTGGCGGCAGTGTCAGTGGGCGCTCCAGAGAGTTGTGATTCCAGGGGTTGTGAAGCTGCTGTCTTGTAGGGACACACACTTCCTCTGAAAGGGAGACAGGGTAGGAGGGGGCAGTTCCGTTATAAATAAATCCAAGAGGAAGAGTTGTGTACAAGGAAGAAAATGAGACTAATTATTCTTTCTTTATTACCATTCCCTTCTCAGAGAACGAATCAAGTATTGTTGTGAGCAGCTGCGTACTCTGTTGCCATATATAAAGGGGAGAAAGAATGACACAGCTTCAATTATTGAGGCAACAGTTGAGCATGTGAAGTATGTCCGGGAGAGAATCCCTCCAGCCGTGATGGGCCAGGTACTCAACTCTGAAGCCCTTGAGTTTTATCCTCATAGACAATGCTTTAATGCTACAATTCTTTTCTATTTTTTAATCACTGGAAATGTATGTGTGTTTGTATATATGAAAAAAATCTCTATCTCAATAGATCTATCTCTCTTATTTTTTAGATTACAGAAGCACTTCAGAGCAATGGGAGGTTTTGTAAGAAACAACCAGTGCCCATCCAGTTCTCCCTCCCTGGCACGGTCATGGCCCAGAGGTATGATAAGGGCCCCTGTTATTTTCCTCCAGACCAGGGCCAGAAGTGTAGACAGCCACTGAGCCCACCCATGGTGAACACTTAGGCATTTGTTAGGAATCAGGGAACTTTTCCCACTGCTGACATGTACCTTTGAATTACAATGATAAAACATGTAGTTTCTCAGTCTCATAATCCTCTCATCCCTTGCCTCACTCCTCTTTTGTTATTTCTGAGGATATTAAAAATGGAGCTTGACCAGTAGTGATGTTGAGCAGTCCAGTCCGCTTCAGCTGGGTGTCCTTACATTACACAACGGGACCTGCCAAAGGAATGCTTCCTATTTCAATTTTTTAGAATATGGGAACAATCTGTGGAGGAAACGCAGATCATTCCTCTGCATCCTAAAGAAGTCCTGTTCAGCAGTTTGTTTGGTTTTCTTATCTAAGCAATCCATATTTTAGGCTCTGTCTATAGTTTTTAGAACTTGAATGGTAGAGCAGTTGAAGTCAGCCATGTTCATATTGTCTTCCTTGAGAAATGTGTATTTTCTTTTCGTCCTTTGAAGGGAAAACAGTGTGTTGGCAAGCACGTATTCACCTGTGAGAGGGATCAGGTTCCTGGCTAATCAGTGCTTGAACATGTACTCTGTCCCCACCTTAGGGGGCTCTGTGGATGATGCCATGAGAGGTGAGCACCACCTGCCCAGGCCGCTGCACTGGGCTTGGGTCTGCGTGCCCGTCCTGTGTGCCCCGGGCGCCTAGGCATTCATCTCCACAAGCAGGGGAAGGAGCGAGGCTGGGAGATCCCACCAGGAGTCCTGGTGTTGTCTGCTCGGAGCACACAGCTGGCCACAGGCACCTGTTAGCCCAGACAGTTACCAGAAAGGTCATCTTACTGATGATAAAGCATATTGGTGGTTTTATTTATGTGACCAGAATCTAAAGGGAAGGGAATTATTTGTATTAATTCAGAACTACGTCCTGAGCATGTAACACATTCGTTTATTGACTTTCAATGCTTAAATGTCACCTTCTCAGGGTCTTACTTAACCACACAACTACAACTTCACAGTCCTCACCAGCACCATATCACACGTAGGGCTCCTTACCACGTTCTCTGTTGTATTTTCCTTCACAGTACTTACCACCTAATATTCTTTACTTGCAAACTTTGCTTATGGTAGCCTGTCTTCTCCCACTGAAGTATCAACTCCATGAAGACAAGGATCTTTCTTTCTTTCTTTCTTTCTTTCTTTCTTTCTTTCTTTCTTTCTTTCTTTCTTTCTTTCTTTCTTTCTTTTTTCTTTCTTTCTTTCTTTTTTCTTTCTTTCTTTCTTTCTTTTTTCTTTCTTTCTTTCTTTCTTTCTTTCTTTCTTTCTTTCGTTCTTTCTTTCTTTTCTTTCTTTTCTTTCTTTTCTTTCTTTTCTTTCTTTTCTTTCTTTTCTTTTCTTTTTTGCCTGTTTTGTTCATTACTGTATTTCTAGTACCTGGCGCAATGACTGGCTCATAATAGGTGCTTAAGAAATGTCCATTATTTGAGTATTCATTGTGAAATAGACGTTTACCCACCACGAGGTGTTTTGTTATTTGTGTTATATGGTCTAGACATGCCCGTACACTTGTAGAAATAAGAAAATGGAAGAAAACAGAGCCAGAGAGGAAGAACACCGGGCACATTTGTGCCTTGGTTTTCCTGGAGGTTACTCTTAGTGAGAAGCCAGTGTGGTGGTTCTCCCACCCTGCATGTCAGACGCTGGGTGACAGACACCCCTCCCCACCTCCCCAGTGCCGGGGCCTGAGGCCAGCCTGCTCTGGCTCTGTGAAGGGCCTCCGCCCTCTCCCGTCAGCACCTTCCCTGTGCTGGGAATGCCCTTTCTCACACTCTCCCTGGCTACCTCCCAGTTCTTCCCCCGGTGTCCCTCCTTCACAGATGGGAACACAAGGATGCACGAGGGGCAGCTCTTGTTCTTATGGAGCTCACAGATTATAGCAGAGAGGGTCACCACAGCCAACTAAGTTTCCTCTAGTAATGGAGGTGCTATGCACATTATGGGGATATAGCGGAAGCCACAGGTCCAGAGGAGGTGAATAGGGATGGTGTCTAAAGTCAAAAGAGAGAGGAGGCCAAAAATAGAATCTGGCCCTCCTTGTTCATATAATCAAAGCAGCCTCAGGGTGCTTTGTTCCTCAATTTAGACCTTTCTCCTGACTAGGGGCAAGGGGAGTGAGAGTAGGAAAAAAGTAGCCATGAACTATGGCTAATTTATGTAAAGTAGCTGTGGCTAGATGCCCCACTGAGTGATTAAGTCAGATAGAGGTCAGGGCACAGGCACATGCCTGTCAGTGTTACCTCTTACACATGCGTTGCCTCGGCAATCTCACTATTTATATTCTGCAGACACTCTGAAACACTCTTCGAGGGGAGTGAGTTCAGGCCTTTCTGTGCCCCAGCCTCTCTTGGTATCACATCACCTAAACCAGGTGGATGACACTGGGGTTCTAACTCGGACAATAGACCGTGGCATGTTCAGACCAGAGGGGAGTCTACAGGTCATTGAGGCAAACCCCCCATTTTTATTTTACTTATATACGTTTTTCCATTTGAAAAGCGGTAGTAACCCTTTACTAACCCAGCTAAGATAATACCTGTGTTCATTTTTTATGTATTTTCTTCAAGTCTTTTTTATGCATATTTTCCTACAGTAGTAATCATATGGAAAATCAAATTTTGTCTTTGCTTTTGATATTTAACATCATGTCACATATACTTTAATTTTTTACTATGCAGCCCTCATCACCATTTTAATTGTTTTAGTAGTTTATCACATGATTTATAGAATGGTTTTCTTAGCCATCCTCCAGTTGTGACATTTAGTGTTTCCAGTTTTATGGGGAGAGTACTTTTATATAATGACAGGAAATATTTCCCCACATATAGACTTTTCTATATTTTGGATTTTTCCTTGGACTGGATACCTGGAAGTCTGTGATGAACGGGCCTGAGAATGTGAGCACATGTATAGCTCATCACGCATGCTACCAAATTGGTTTTGAAAGAGGGTTGGAACAGTTGAAATCAGTTAAGTCTTTCAAATTTCCCTTGTATCACCAATAAAGGCTGCAGAAGTTAAATAGCCACCTGAGGTCACCAGGTTTCTGTGTGACTCGTGACACAGAAATGCTGACCTGGGTCAGTGTTCAGATGTCATTAGGTGGCCCTGACTTGTCCTTTCCCATAAATCTCTGTACACATGGGCTGACACGCAAATATTCACAAACATTCCAGATACATTCGCATTTAAAGTGGAAATAAAATTACTTTTATTATTATTAATGTCCAGAAGAAAAGAAATATTCACAATGTTGAGATTACATTGTTAACATTCATTATATGTTTAAAAATATTTTCCTGCCTTCTATGTACTGTACAGAGTATAGGTATACAATGATAGCACCCACTTGACAGATAGAAAATTGACCAAACTTTATTCGTAGCTGAATGGAGTTCTTTCTAGCATTCTTCCTTGCTTCATAGGGATTGTCACAATTTTTATTATGATGGAAGCACACACACACACACAACCACAACTACAAAGATCTGATGCTTCTCTAAAATCTCTGTCTTTTAATGACACATGAACACTAATTTAAAGTGTATATATTGAATTAAATGTTGCTACTAAAAAATTCACTCTGTTTTTCCGACAGCATTTAAGTGTAGCAGTAGTACAAGTTTGTAACATGAGGAAATGAAATAGAGGACAGTTTATGTTATATACAGTAGTTCAGAGTTACAGTCATGTATACTGACGGATTTTTTTTCCCCCTTAAAGGTCAGTCTAGCTCCACTTCGGAGAATGCTATTGGTGATATGTATAAAAGTCTAGTTCCCAGCACAGCTCTCTCTCTTAATTCCTTCCATGCTGTCAGATACTATTCTAAAGTCATCCCTTCCTATGATGCAGCAGCCGTGACAAATCAGAACATCTCAGTTCATTTTCCACCAGCTGTGCCCAAAGTCTCAAAGTTTCTTCCTCAGCACTGCAATTCTGTGCTGGACCAGACGTGCACAATATATCCCAACTGCCTGGTAAGTCTTCTGGGGTCTTGGATCAGGTCGGACTCTGTCATTCCCTCCGGCAAGGCCCCTGACTTGCGTTTAGCTGCTACTACTCCGGTCAGAAATCTCTTAGACTGGGACCAGGTGCAGTTATGTTAACCAGGCTCTCATTCCACCTGCTGCAGGACTGCATATCCAGAGTCAGTGAGCCTGGAGGTGGCCCTGCTGGTTGACCCTAAGTGACCAGATGGAACACGATTTTCTCGAGAGCCCCTCCCCTCTGCCCCTCTGCTTCCTCGATGCCCCATCCCGTTTCCCAGCCTCACGCTCAGCCGGCCCCATCAGTGGCTGCTGCTCGGTCTCCAAGGCTGGCAGTTACTCATACTAGATGAAAACCTGTTCTTCTGACACCAGCGAGGCTATTTGCAGATCCCAGATGTCCTCATATCAGATATTTATCGAGCACCCACGATGTTCTGGCATTCCACTAAGCACCGAGAATGTAGTAGATGTATAAAGATAGCACAGCCCCTGCCCTCATGAAACTTTAGTGTCATAGAAGCAGGCAGTTGTTATGCACGTAGGAGGAGTGCCCTGGTATATATAATAGAATCTAGCTTTGGAAGACGCTAGGGGCTGCTTACCGCTGCAAGAAGTACTGTCTAAGCCGAGACATGAGGAGTCAGAATTAGCCTGGTAGGGCGGGTAGGAGTTGGGAATGAGCAAGAGAAGAGCATTCCAGGCAGATGGCTCAGCATATATAAATAGTAGTGTCTTCGTTGTTTTTTTGTTTTTTTTAAGCACTGTCCAGTTTTAGAGGAAGACCCAAACCAAACTGACCTACTTAAAATGTACTTCTGATCACCTTAATATAGTTGCTAATACTTTTGCATATTAATAATGGCTAACATGTTTTGAGCACTCAATAATTAAAGAACGTGCCTAATACTTTATGTCCTTAATGTGGATGGTCTTTTGACCCTCTGAAACAATCCATTGAGGTAGGTATTATTGTTTCCATATGACATCTATGGAATGGGAATAATAGTGACCTTGCCAGAACAACGTTTGAGAAAAATATTCTAGAGAATCACAGAGAAATTTTAACATACAAAATATCTGCAAATATATTACTATTGTTGATGCTCATCAGGATGCCAACAGGCAAACCCGAGGAAATGAAACAAGGATTGTGACATTAATCTTTTATTGTTGACCTACAGTTTTTGTTGTAAGAAAAAATTATTTTTAATAACAATAAATACATATAATAATAAACAATAAATACATATAAAAATAAATATATAAGTACATATTTTAAAACCTGTAGGTTTACTCATGTGAAGATTTCATATGGTTTTACAAATCATTTCGTATTTAGGACATAGAAAACATATTTATGACATTATAAGTAAGAACAAGTCAGGATTCAATTAATGTGGTTTTTTTTTCCCTTTGCAGCAACAGTTTTGGGCATATTAATAGCACATGTTTGAAACTCACACTCTAGACCACCTATTGGGCGCAGTTTGATAATACGGGAAGAATGGAACAAAGAATGATCTTGAAAGCTACACCCAAAGACCTAATATCAAAAGAATTTGCATTGTATGGCTTCTGATAAATGGGCTAAAAGCTTCTACAGATAGAAAGGCAGCAAACGTGCTAGCCACATGCCTTCACTTATCTTCATACGTACTTGGATCTCCCCACCCAGAGAGCTACAAGAACAAATGGCCTAGGTGACCTAGACCCTTTTTTTCCCCCACAAAGAATATTCCACAATTTATGGAAAAAAAGTGCATTATAGAAAAGATCCACGTAGACTTGATAAGTGGTAAAATTGTGGAGGTGCATTGATACTCTGGTGTCACTGAGTACAGATATGGCAATTTGACTCTTATTTTTAGTATCACCATGCATTACTTATTTCCAGGTCTTTTTTTTTTTTGTAGGTTTCACATTTTAAAGAGCTTCGTTATTTACCATTCAAACTAAGATACCTTAATTTGAGAGAGGTGTTTACCTCCCCGCTTGACTGCTAATGAATAAATTGACATGTTTGTTTTTACATTTCATAATTCCTTGAGTTAAATAATAGCTAATGGGTGAATTTTTCTTTCTGGATCTTCAGTTACAAACTAGCAGGTACTTCTTTGTTTTTCATCTCTTCCTTCCCATAGGTGTTAGAAAAGACTGTTGAAAAGAAGGGAAAAAATTGTTTGTTTTATATTTCCTTGAAATGTTCTTATGCATAATATAAGTTTTATTGTTACATATTCAGTTTTGACCCTGAAAATAGTAACCCATTTTCGTTTTGTTTAATAAATATGTGTTCCCTCTTTTAATAGTATTATGTAGGGAATTTAATTTTACTAGATTTTTGAGAAGTTTAAAAATTACTTTAGGCATAGCCTAATTTTCATGTTAAATTGTATAGCTTTCCTTTGAGGATGCCTTGATGATGGAATCTGTAGATGTTTGACAAACTTTACCTTTATAAAGGAACTATGAGTTTCTAACTAAGGTTCTATGCTTATTATTACAAATGTGTGTTGACTCTTCATAATCTTGCCATTATGAGTAATTGCTTTGACATTGTGTGCAAACCTGTTGAGGTATTTTGGGCACTGCGATCACTTCATAGGTTCACAGCTGGTCTTAATTGCTACTGGGACTTTTGGTCTTAATTGCTACTGGGACTTTTGTTTTGCATCAGGGTTTCTCTAGATCCACTTGAGGACCATGTGGTAATTCAACAGGGGACCTATAGAGTACGACCCATAGATCCTGTCTTCTTGCTAGTCTCGGTCCCCTTTTCCTTTCAACATGGAAAGGAGGCCAACAGATCTATTGTTAAAGGACTGTTTTTTGGTTTTTTTTCTTCCAGAGCTGGTTCCCATGATCTCAAACGCCAATGCAATGTTCAAATTTATTTCTAAAACTAGAATTTCATTTTTAATAAATTATACTTTTCCAAGTAAGTTCAACTCTCAGCTAAGGAGGAAAAGTTAGTTGGGCCTTGGCCCATAGAAAAAGAGCAGAATTTTCCTTTATAAAATCAAGTTGGCTGGCCATGAGACAGTTCCAGTATTATTTTCACTATGAAAAAGGTGTACGGAGTTTGCCTAGAAAAGGGACAGCTTACAGGATTCACACTGGTGGTAGAGGGTCAGAAACAAACATTTATCAAGCCCTTTCTGTTGCCCAGGAAAATTATTAGACTTTTCCTTGAGGAGAGGATTTAGCCTTATTCATTTCTGTATTCTCAGTGTCTCCCATCTTGCTGGGTGGCTGGCTGGATGCACAGATTCTTGGAGGGCTATCTGGGTGAATGAGGAGCCAAGAGGAAGGAAGGGTCTGACCTTGGGTGATGACTCTGAGAAAGGAGGGCAGGAGACACAGTCAAGCACTTGAGGACCCATTTGAAGTCAAGAGAGAGGGAAGAGTGAAAGTTGATGTGTGGCCATCATTATAGTTTTTATCAATGTGTATCCATCTGTTTAGACCTATTTCTTCCCCCTCACCATACTTTTCTAATATACGAGTTGGATGGTCGTCAGCATGGCAGACATGACAGTAATTGATAGTGTTAATAAAGAAAATGTGTGTTCAATGGAGAACACTCAAATGTTGAACAACTCAAATATCATTCAGTTGTTTATTAATTTGTTCAGTAACTATTTATTTGACAAGCATTGTCTTGAATGCTGGGAGTACAGCTATATATGTAAGACATAGTCTGTTTTACCTTCTGTATCTAGAAGCTTAGAGTCTACTGGAAGAGACAGGTAAAACAGAATTACAATAGAGTTTGTTGAGTGCTACAAAAGGGGAGACTATGAAGTACTACTAGAGTACTTAAAAGCATCACTCACCCTTTTCTAGAGATTTCATGCAAGGCTTTTGGAGACAGTGACATAGCTATCCTCATCTCTAAAACTAGTGATAACAGTACTTACCTCTTAAGGTTGTTGTGCAGATGAAATGAGATAATATGTGTAAAAGTCCTTGGAATGGTGCCTAGCACATAGTAATCATTTAATACATGTTAGTTATAATTATGTGATGATAATGATTAAGTTGAGATTTTATGGACCAGTAGGCATTGCTAAGCCAAGAGGTGGAGATTTGGGGACTGGTTCAGGAGAGGAGTTTTTAGGCAGAGAGAACTGCATTTACAAAGATACTAAGGAAAGGACAGAATGAAACATGGCTGTGCATAGAGTTCAGGTGTGGGATGGGGAAGAATGGAGCAAGAACACAGGTAAGAGCAGAGAGGCAGGTAAGGGCCACGTGATACTGCCCTATTTGAACTTCTAATGATGCCTCATTGCCATTGTGATATTGACATAATCAGATTTGCATTTTAGCATGACCACTCTGGCTTGGTGAATTTAAAGGCAGAATGAATTGAAGGGGGCTAAAACTAACTAGGGGGGGGTGTCCGTTCTAGTAGTTCAGGCAAGAGATAGCCCCAGATAAGTTGTTGGCAGTGGAAATAGACAAATTTAACCAATGGTAAGGGGGCAGAATTAGCAAGACTTGGTGGGTGATCCAATGGAGGGGTGTGAAAAAGTAAGGATGACACCCAGGTGTGTGGTGTCAGTGCTGGACAGATAGTATTGATGTTCTCTGAGGGAATGCAGGAAAAAGAGCCCTTTAGCGGGATGGCGCTAGAAGGTGACAGTTGTATTTGGGGACATGCTGCATTTGGGTATTTGTAGGATAGCCTCGTGGAGGTGGCCATAATACATTCAGATTTGAGCGGCACAGGCAGACAGCTGGAGGAGAGGTCACAGGTCTGGGGTGGTGGGATGTAAGAGTGGGGGTTGAAACAGCAATGGCGGGGTAGCCTGGATGACCCACAAGGACTTCTCACTCTCCAATTCTATTATAATTCATCCTAAGTCACTTGGTCAGGCCCCCACTGTCACATGAAATTACAAGTTACCAGAACTTCGAAGTCCATGGGTAAATCCTTAAAGGCAGAGGGAACATCTTGCCCATGGCAGCTGTGTTGGTTTTGTAGTAGTGTTTTGAATTGTGAGAAATTAAATTTCCCTGAATTTCTAGCTTAAGAAAAATGTAAAACTTTGGCAATACTGGATCTATTTCTAGTATGCGAATAGCAACAAACCCAGGTAAGTAGGACCGACCTCTTTACACGAGGCCTCAGTCTCCCTCTGGTCACGCCCAGCTTGCCGCATTCATGGAAGTAACCTGCCTGTCCCTTATAGGTATTCTAATGTAATTCCTATACGGGGGAACCATGGGGGCAGGGGGAGGGTAGCAGCGTGCTAAAATGCAGATTCCCAGGTCCTACACCACAGGGTCAGGCTGGGAAACTTGGCTGAGGTCCGCTGTGTTGCAGGTATCTGAAGATCCTACCTAAAAACACCCAGTACACATCAATGAATGCAGATACCCATAAGGGACACAAAAACAGACTGAAACCACAGTGGTTGACTCCCCAGCCTGCACTTGTAGATTTCTGAAAAGCACACATACCAGAACCTTACTCGGGAGATTCTGACGTCACCCCTCTAGAGTGGGGCCTAGTTCTCTGCCTAGAATGAGCGATGTGCAGCCAGGCTTGGAAGCCACCGTGAGGCTATAACATGCTGATCACGTGCATGTTAGGGCCTGACATCAAGAGGCGAAGCACCAGGAGCACAGCCCTGAATCTCCACAGCTCAGCTCGGGGAGGAGGATTCTGTCCACACTGGCTGACGGAAGGTTTGTTGAGGTGAGTTTCAGAAACTGCTTTGGTGAGTTAGAAAGGTGATGAGGCAAAAACCTTCTGTGCCCAGAGTATAGCTGCAGGGAAATTCGAAGGCAGGAGCCGACCCGCGGAATTGGGAATAAGTGTGACTTAAGGTGAATGAAAACAAGACAGATGTAGGGCTTCACTCTCTTTAGTTTATCTAGATGGCACTGGAAACTGCTTCCATGAAGGGAGGCGCTTTCTCATTTTTATTAACTCTTCCATGTTTTATGAAATTACTTTCAAAGTATTGTTAAAAGCAGAATGTCACTTTTGCAGAATAATGACTGGTAAAATATGTCATTTCTCTGAATAGTTGGCACTGACATATCATAAAATTTTGAAACTGGAACCTGAGCCTCCTGGCATTTTCCTGTCCAGCTATCAGGCGTGTCACTGGTTTTCCCCTTCCCCTGGCTGCCTCCTTGTTACATGGAATGAGGAAGCAGGAAGCCCACAGATCACCTCAGTCAATCGGTGGCATCAAGGGAAACATGACACTCCTATGGAAAAGAGAGAAGCCTCTTATCTGTACGCCTCAAGGTTTTGCATCCCAAAATAATGTTCTTTCTGAAAACAAAAACCAGGAAGATACACACACACACACACACACACACACACATACACACACACACACACTATTTCATAGTATGTTGTATACTGTCAAATTTTACTGATCAGTCTCCAGTAAAAATATTTTTATTCAAAGCAAAGATTTCGAGAAGTCAGATTATAACCTAAGTGGGCTTGAGCACTGCTGGGAGAAACTTCAGAAATCAGACTTCTAAAATACGCAAACTCATTCTGAAAAGTGGTCTGCCAAACTGTGGATCCGAAGAAGTCTTTGCAAACAGATATTTCTTTCTACTTATCTTTTCCCCAAATAGTCAAGGCTATGTAAGGGAGTTAGGAGCGGTGTAGTGTCTAAAACACTGAACTCCGTCTTTCATCCTGTCTCATGCTATGTTCTTACATCCTCCAAATAATAGCCAAATTTAAAAAATTCTATGACTTAGGATTTAGGAGATTCCATGCCCTTTTTAAGACCTCAATAACAGATGTCAACACTGCAAGCACTGTGAAAACCCCTTGCAGTTTATTTTCCCCATAGACCTAAAGTGGAGCTCAGTTTTGAACTAGAAACTATTGGAAAGTAGAAAATATTTCTCATAGCCATGTGTGTATTCGGGTGGGTGCAGAGAAACAAAAATGAACACGGGCTTTCCCCTCCTGCTTTGGACTAAATCCTGGTTCTCTCCCATATGGTATTCTAATACTCCTGAAGCTACTGTTTAGAAAGCATTAGGGGGTGAAAAACCATAGGATTCACTTCCCTGTGAGTAATTCCTTATTTTCTTTAATATTTTAAGATTTTATTGTAATTAAAAAGAATGCCAGTGTGGTTTAAGCATTGATTTTTATCTCTTATGGAGCACTATAATTGAACGACCCTTTCATGACATTTAACTAGTAATAATGATTTTAAATATTTTGTTAAAGGAGCCACTCCAGACATTTTATTTCAGTGTAACAGAAAGTTCAACTCTTTTTACAGAGTTAGTGAGTCAAGACCTTGACAAAAATGCCTGTAAGCCATTGAAAGAGTCAAGGAAAGGTGAGGTATCGATAAAGTAATTTTTAGTTCATTAAAAGCAAATAGTAGAGTTTGGAAAAACTTGAATATGAACATATTGCCTGGCATAGAAGACTT